ATAATGAGATTATGTGGAACAAGGACACAGACACAATATGAATTTCTAATAATTCCGTTAAGTATAGAAATTCTAATTGAGTCTACCGATGGTCATATATAGGATGATCTTAATCCTGAGTTCTTAACAGACTCCTATTTTTGGATTTGTGTCTTTTGATTTACTCGGTACGGATTCTAAGATCCTGAGTCTTATTCCTTGTATTTTGGAGACATGATGAAGTAGGTAGCCGGGAATGTTATTACACGAGATGGAATCCATTCCTTCTTAAGAAAGAAGTAGATAAATAATTCTCTTGAGGGTTGATTCGGTACTTGGACCAGTAGGAGCTCCGATTCAAGGATAAAGAAGTAATTAGAGAGGTTAACGGATTTTACCTTGTTCTAATTATGAATTATTTATGGAGGATTGATCTATATGCAATGACTATATCAAATGGACACTTCACAGTTTAGAAGTAATTTATATCTATAATTTCGAGAGTGCAATTCCAAGTTTATAGTGGAGTAACTATTGGAATTAATAGAATTAATTAATTAATTAAAGTGTTTAATTGATTATTAATTTTATTGGAGCTCGGGATTATAGGTCCATTAGTCCCCTCGTCGTCCTAGTAATTCTACTAGACACATAGGGCAAAATGGGAATTTTAGAATTATAGAATTCTAAAATTAAATACTTGAAAATAATTAATTGAGAATTAATTATTATTTAAATAATGTGATTATTTAAATTTGAATTTGAACACATCTAGATTTATCCATTTAAACTTATTTGATAAGTTGTTCAATTTAGAATTCAAATTAATTTAAGTTTGACTTAAATTCGAATTTGAATTTGAATTAAAATTGGACTACAGGATAAAGGATTATTTTTTCTCTTCCTTCCCTATCTGAATTGGCGCCACACACAGGGTTAGGAAACCCTAATATGGCCGGCCACCTTGGAGATAAGGGGAAGGGATTTTTGTTCTGAAATTCAAAAATTAGAGATAAGGATTTGATCATGTTTTGAAGTTTGACTTCTACTCTTTAAATATGAGGATGATAGAAAATTGTGGACACAATTTTTATAACATTTTTTCAGCCCTAATTGTTGGTGGCCAAAATTCATAGAGGAAAAGGAGAGAGAAAATATTTTTTCTCCAAAAATTTCACATCGTGCATGAGTTGGGGTTTGTGGAAATTCGAGCGTTTAAGAAACCTGTTTTGTCTCACGTGTGCCCACACACACGTCCACGTGGAATCGAGGAATTGACGTGGAAGACTTTGGTATTCTAAACACAAAATTGGAGTAAGGACTGTTCGTGGTCAAAGAATTCAAGTTATCATCCGAGTCAGCTTCCAGGTATTTTTCCGAATTGAATTCTTGATGTAAATTAATGCGATTAATTTATTCGTGCATAAATTAATATAATCTATAGAGTATCACAAAAGTTTTGTGAAAATTTTTGTTATACACGATCCGCCTTCCCCACGCTTCCGCACCCGAATTCGATTCGGGAACTAGCAGTTTTGGCCACTGCTTTGCTTGGAACCCTGTTAAGAATATAAATTGCAGTCTTTAGTGCTTCTCCCTAAAGTGATTCAGACAAGGAAGAATGACTAATCATGCTTCTCATAATGTCTTTACGAGTTCTGTTTCGTCTCTCAGCAACACCATTCATGCTAGGTTTGCCTGGTATTGTGTATTGCAGGACGATTCCACATTCTTTTAGGAAGATAGCGAATGGTCCTGGACATTGTTCACCTGATCCGTCATATCTGCCGTAGTATTTGCCACCACGATATGATTTGCCAGCCTTAATTTTCTTACTTAGTTGAAGTTCAACTTCGGCTTTAAATTCCTTGAAAACGTCCACTGACTGTGACTTCTCATGTATTAAGTATAGGTAACTGTATCTTGAATAATCGTCTATGAACGTAATTAAGTATTGTTGACCATTCCATGAAGCCGTAGGGAATGGTCCACATATATCTGTATGAATGAGTTCTAAGACGTTTGTAGCCCTGTCAACACCTAATTTTCTTGTGTTTGTCTGTTTCCCCTTAATGCACTCAACACAGACTTGAAAGTTTATCAAATCTAAGGGGCCAAGAATTCCATCACTCATAAGCCTCTGAACGCTTGTGCCATAGGGTGGCAGAATTCTCATTTAATTTTCGCTTTGTACCTCGTGCTAGTGTGCAAAATTTCATTATCAGAAGTAACAGTATCAAGCATATAAAGATTATCAATTAAAGAACCAGTACCGACAACATTCGAATTATGAGAAAGACTAACTTTATTATTTCCGAAGGAGCAAGAATAACCGGATTTGTCCAAACTAGAAATAGAAATTAAATTCTGTCTTAATGACAGTGCAACAAAAGTCTCAATCAAATCCAAATAGACACCAGTCTTTAATAATAATCTAAATGTCCCGATAGCTTCAACTGGAACTTTCTTGCCATCGCCCACGAAGATGAATCTTTCAGCATCATTTGGCGGTCGGCTTCACATGCAACCGTGCATAGACATACTAATGTGAGTAGTAGCACCAGAATCTACCCACCAAGTATACTTAGGTACAAAAGCTAAATTAACTTCAGAATAAACCATAATGAGAGTCTTTCATTTCTTGCAGAAGTAGCAAGTGAATTTCTCATCCTGCTTCTTTACTTTCTTCTACTTGAGTGTTCATTTTGCAGTATCCATAGCTCTCCTTTTGTTCTTATTCTGGGAGGTTGATGCCAAGTGAGCACTTTCAGTCTTATCTCGCTGAAGCCTTTCCTCTTCTTGCACACAATATGATATGAGCTCATTAACAGTCCATTTTTCCTTTTGGATGTTATAGCCCACCTTAAATTGACTGTATTGTGTAGGAAGAAATATGAGAACTAAATGCACAAGCAAATCCTCAGACAGCTCTAATGTCAGTGCCTTTAGTTTCTCAGCGATGTTAGACATCTCCATAATGTACTCCCTTATGTTTCCATTTGCTTTATACCTCATGAAAATGAGTTTATTCAGAAGGTTACTCGTTTCTGACTTTTCATTCTTGGCAAAATATTGCTCAAGTTCTTTGAGAAATTTCTTGGCATTAGTGCTCTCAGTAATAGAGCCCCGAAACGCCTCCGGAATGGAGCGTTTCATGATCATTAGACTCATGCGGTTAGAGCGGTCCCATTTCTCAATTTTATCCGTGTTCAGATTTTTCGTAGTAGCAGTGGGACGCTCTGTCCTGAGCACAAGGTCTAAGTCCATACATCCGAGAACGATTTCCACATTCATACATGACATTCACAGCAGTATCAGAAACTAAATAGAGAACAAAAATAAAATATACTCACAATCAACATTCATGTCATACATAAGCATAATAAACCATATAATACATACATGACATAAACAAATAACTCGAAGCAAGGTGGTGGGCCCATTTCAAGATACCTAGCACAACACTGATATTTAGTCTTTGGACCAAAAAATCAGCTTGTAAGTGGTACTCTCCGCACAGTAATCAAATATTGACAATAAATCCTGTCAAACAATAGCCTTCCTTTGGGCCGACTTTTGTTCACATGAAAAACCTTATAATTGTCACATATTTATTACCACAGGTATACTCATTATTTGGCCAAATAATAACCTTCCTTTGGGCCGATCATTATTCGCATAAATAACAGCGTACACATCTTTATATTCTAAAATAAATTGACATCCACAACAGATGTTACTTTGGCAACAATATTATTTCAATCAATTTATTTCAAAATACAAGACAATTAAGTGCAATAATAATCAAATAAAACAAAATAAAAAAAAAACAGAATTTCATTTTATTCAATTGAATGCTTAATTAATTTGCACTTAATTTCTTAATGGGTTAAAAAAAATTAGCCCAAAATCTCTAAAATTAGGTTTAAAATGAACCCATAATTGCCAATTTTAGCAATTATTTCTCTTTATGGTTGCAGGTATAGCCTACGGCCCTTATACTAAATCACAGGCCCAATATGGGCCCGTGGTCCATTCTTTTGTCACGGGCCCCAAATGGGCCCGTTACTCCTTTTTTTCAGTTCTGGGCCGAAGCCTGGAACTTTGCCCTAGGGTCGCAACAGTGTCGTAACCCTTCTTCTCCACTGGCGGCCGCCAGTCCCCATGCTATGGCTGGCTGGTCGAAGCAATAACTGTCCGGCGCAGCCCAACGGCTGCGCTTGGGAATTCAGACGCCGGCGGCGGCAAGCTTGCTGTCGGCAACAAAAAAAAATATATATATATATATATATTAATCTTTTCCTTATGTGGCGACCTTGGCCGCCGCTGGTCTACATCCCGCCGCGACCACCAGGCCGCAGCTACCCCGTCGGCACGGCCCAACGGCCGCACCCTCGATTCCTCAGCACCGGCGGCCAAGGCTGCCGCCAGCCACAACATTCAACCGAAGAAGAGAAGAAAGAAAAAAAAATTTCCAGAATCATCCGAAAAAAAAAAAAATTCTCTAATAAATTCCTTTTTCCAAATTTCCTTAATCCCTAATTTTCTAGATAATCAATTTTGTGAATAATAAATAATTCTGAATTTATTCAACAAATTTGATTAAAATCAATCACCAAAAATTCATATGATTATATCTATATACATGCTTTTCTTAACAAAATAAAGCATATCTAAAATTCCATAAACAAAAGGAAAATTATATGAATCAATCAACATGATATTCAGCCAGAGATATTGGAGATAAAAATTCTCTCAATAATTTAATGTGATGACCGCTCTGATACCACTTGTTGGATCTTTTCGATCCTTGTTCCACATTCCAAGAATCATCACACCAAATTACTAAGAAAATAAGTTAGGATAAATACCTGTCTCCATTGGTGCAGCCTTGAATTTCCAGTAGAATTCTCTAAGACAACGAGCACGACGGTTATTGCCTTCCTCAGTCAAATCTCCTTAGTTCCTTAATGGGGTGTTTTCTCTCTAGATGGGGAAGAATGAAAACTGCCGAATGATTTGACGTATTGGGGACCATAACCTAAGTTTCTATATATACTGCCTCATTAGGCTCCCATTAAACCTAGTTGGGTCAATATGGGTATCCACACACTCAGCCCATACCCTGTTAGGAGACTATTTGGGTTTTTCATAATTAAATCACTTAATTAGCCAAATTAATTAAATAGCTTAATATAATTATTGAATAAATATGTGGCCCACGATATAGGAAACTCACGTTTCCTAACATTCTATTATCCTCCACAAATGGCATAGGTGGTTGATCTCCTATATATCTAAGGTGCCTCGTTTTTGTGAATTTAATTCACACTTCAAATTTTTGTTTTTGTTACTATATGTTTTTCGTCACAAAAGTTCAAATTTTTATTCAAATCTATAATCAAATGGGCACTAAGCAGATTGATTATGTGATGCCAACAGGATAAACAAAGCTCAGAATTATCTTAACACGCCACTCTTTATGCAACAATTTTTCATTAATTATTAGCTTAAGTATGTAATTAATCATCTCCAAAAGCATAAGAGAAGAAAGTATGCCATGAGCTGAGAATCTTGCAACCAATTAAGCCCTTCCCATACACAAGCTCCACACATGTTCTGGCAAAACATGTGAGATGGTCATGTTAGACTTATATTCTATCCAATAACTATTGACAGAAAATGTAAACCTATACCTTACTAAGATCTTCTTCTCATGACCGGAAAAAAATATACATATACATATATATATATATATATGTATATATAGATATTAATGACGATAAAAGAGAATTATATATATATAGAGAGATTAATGATGAAAAGAGAGAATGCAAGTTGAAGTGTGTATGGTCTTCTAGAGTCCCATTTATTTCACCGATTCGAGTTTTGTTACAGTAAAAAAGTTCTTAAAAATAATCACATTTAATTTTTTACTATAATAACAAATTCTCATATAAAATTACATCTCAACTTAAATTAAAAAATTAAATCAACGAATTAAACGGGTCCCTAAATTAGTCCGCTTGCACTACTGCATATCCATTGAATAGAAGAGATTTTTTTGGGTACCCTATCCAGTATCCAACAGGCAGTGACTCAAAGTGCGTTCGTTTGGGCTATTAAACTTGAGTTAGCCCAATTCAATCTGAGTTTTGAGCCTAGTTGACTGTTCGGTAACCTAAACTCAAAGTCCACACTCGAGTTAGTATCCGGAGTTATGAACATCAGCTACCTCCTCATATTTCAATAACTCGAATCTGACTGCTACAGTTCAGATTCTCCACATATCAGCTTTTGACATGCGCGTCAGTGTTATTCCTGCTCTGTGGTGTTTACTGCTTGGCTCACGAGAGGCCCCTCCTTCGTTTCCAGAGCTCATTAATGCTTGCCTAGGGAAATTTGCTTCTCTTCTCTCACCATCTCCCATCTGCTACATTCGGGAATCTCTGAGAAAGGTGAGAATCCGGGCAGTCGATGCCAGTTTGACTCGGTGGGTTTGTGCCAATCGGGGTGCCTTCAGATTTTCCCTCTTCGTTCACCCAGAAATCCCTCAAATACCACCCCTTTCCTGATTCTGTAAGAAATAGCAAACCCTAGATCCATTCCTTCGTGTTCCCTGTGTTCTTCAATTTTCAAAACGGAGACAATTGGAAAGAAGAGAGTGGAGCGGCATCTTCAATTGGCCTTATATTTGAGTCGATGTAGAGTGGCACGTCGTTTTCGAGTGCATAGCTGTAGTCCCCGGTGCCATTGTTTCCGTTGTCATTGCCGTCGGTGAACTTCTTTAGCAGCTCTGTCGCACTCGCGTTTGGCCGTAATCGAAGCAGAGCATCCGGTCTCATCAACAGGATCAAACACGGTAAACACTCTCCCACTTATTACTATGAATTTTCATATAGGACAAGCAGATAGATTACGAGATAAAACATGGTTTGAAGCTAGTTTAGTCGTGGAATCAACCATTGGGTGTGTTGGAGTGATACAGGGGCCTTCGATATTGGTTGTGTTGAACATTTTTCATGTCCGAAACATAGCTCCTCAATTATTAGCAGTTGGAAAAATTGATATATAAAATATCCGTAATGTATTGTTTTTTTTTTTATGGTTCTCTTTTATTGACATTAAAAAGCAGTATTGTTCTTAATTGATTATCATGCATGAGTCATACCTCTCTATGATAGTCTCATCATGCAGTCATACAGTCCATACACCACTGGTTTAGAATTTATAAATTGAACAACTAAAAAGAATT